GCTGCAGTACAATTTTTTAGGTTATGTTACATTAGTTTACGCTGGCTGACTGTTGCGCCTTTCACAGTCCAGCAAAGAACTTAGAATTAAGTTAATCTAAGTTCTCTGCTCCAGATTGAGGCTCAACTTAATGCCTGATAAGTAATAAACTTTTGCGATTTCGAGCCTTCGCCCAGTTCTTTGAATAGCCCAGCTCCTGTATGTGTAAGACGAGTTCTAGATATTGTAGAATCCAATATAGGCAGAGACAGCGATTTAACGCCTCCCACATGCCTACCTTCTCATACTGCCTACCTGTATCACTGCTCCTTCAGACTATTTTGCTCGCGATGCCAATAACTTGTGTTGGAAATGCCATTATGCCTACAACTTATGTATTTATTGGTTAGATATGGATGGAGTGCAACTAATGCGGCATGTTTTCTCTTGAAATGCTTTAAATGCTTCCTTTACGAATAACCGCAACCATCTCACACCGTTGAAAATTGGTATCGGCGTGTTCAGATCTCCACGCGTTCTCACTACGAGGTCATACAGCAGGTTTAACTTCATTGTTCACCCACGCTACTGCATAATTTGGCTCAGAGGATTGCTGGGGTCAATGAACGGCTGATGCCTTACTATGTAAAGTCGTGCCTAGTTGATCCCTGTCATTAATTTGCTAAGCAGGTGCCCGTTTTTTTAGCCGTATTACTTTCTCGATCCAGTATGCGAGTTTCAGTTCCATTAATATGAATCGTTGCCCTGCCACGTACATGTTACTACGTTTTATGCTCAGCGCCCAAGAAACCCTATCTATCTCCACTTTCATCTGGTTTAACTTGCTACTAAGTTTCTCAGGGGAATTAACAGTCGCCTTAAGGATTGCTTTGGCCATCAATCCCACTTTGCTAGGATTTCTCCCAGTAACTTTTTTAACGCCGAACCAGAACATTTAGCATTACTCGGAGAGCATATGCAGGAAGTGCAACTTTTCGATTTTGCTTACGCTTTCCAAACTTGTAAGATCCTAGTCTGCTTGGTTTGGTAGCAGCACTACGATATCAATGAAGTGCCTTCTTTTCAAGTGAACCAGCTGTGCATGTCGCTGGTAGTAACCACTTTATATCAGCTACGTTTTGGCTGATATCGCAGCACAGATTTACTCGTTATCGAACCCCATGTTGAGTTGTTCTTCGTTCCGGCGTCTTCACCATTGGGTGAAGGTCATTTCTATTGAGTTGTCTGGCGGTAGGTACAAAATCCTAGAGTAAAGCCTCCCCAGCTTTTGCTAGAAGTACACACTACAAGCCTATATGTCAGGCCATCGCGGTGTCTGCAGTGGATGGGTATAGCTAACAGAACCAGTTCAACTTTATTTTTATTAATTGGCGCTTTGTAACCGCTGTAGCGATTTTCAGCTGAGCTCCTCCTCTAATTTGTGGTTTACGGCTTGCTTTTTTCAACCAATGGAGGCACCTACAGTTATTACGAAGCCGCCTTCGAACGGCTGATGGTTTTTTATGGGGAGCCTTTGATTTTTATGTCAGAAATACACACATGACATTCCCTGCCGAGGAGCGACGGTAATAAGAAAATTTAAATTCATTTTTTATTTAAATAAATTTTCAAAAATTTTTTGTTTTTATCAACATCAGTTTTCTCAGAAAGTTAAGAAAATTGTGGTTATTGTGTATATAATTGGGGCGACATAACCGATGAAGCACTTCTCGGCAGAGTTCTTCCCGCCTTTGTGGTATGCATCTTGAAGTTTTCCTAATAGAGGGGTCTATAGTTTATACTAAGCCGCCTCCGAAGGCGTGTTAGATTTTTATGAGGACCTCTTTATTTCATGTCAGAAATACTACCGATATAGTTGGTATTCCCAGCTGAGCGGTAACTGCAATTAGAAAATTAAAGTTAAGATTTTCAAAAATTTTAACGTAATATTTTTTTTATAAAATCCTTCTTACCAACTCATCAGCCGCTTACTAACCTCAATTGCATACACATAATTAACTTACATTATTATCCTTTACATTTAATTGATATTCTCTGCCTGTTTAAGCTCCTTTTAGAAGTTTTTCATCCCCTTGGCCTCTATGCGCTTTTTTACTCCTTGCTGTTATTCGTAGCTTACTTCGTGGACTCAATTTCATCCACACTGTTATCCTTCAAATTCATTTGATGTCCTCTCTGTTCACTGATATTCCCATAAAGCATATTATAGCAACTACTGTGGATTCTAAACATTTCTCCTCTTTTGAAGACTATGGCAAGCAGTTGGCAACGCGGCTGTGAAGCTTCTCCTTTATGTGGAATATAGATATATGTATGTGTTCATGTAGCTGTTAAAAGAATTGTATATGAAAAAATGTTAAATGTTATTAAATTTGCTCTCGATATGAATCCTGTCGAAAGGTCAAACATAATGTTGTGTGTGGTCTTTCTGTCAACGAGCTAATGTTAATCTTTTTTTAACACGAATTAAATGAAATTAAGCCATTGAGCTCTTATTAAAGACCGAATAGTTCGAGGAGGGAACGTTTATCTTCTCCACTCTCATAGACTCGGTTGACGAGCTTATAGCCGAGTTAATAATATTGTGCCATTTATTTCTTCTTTTTGCTGTTTGACGCCAATTGGAAATACCAAGTTCAGTCAGATCCTTCTATAACCTGGTCCTTTCAAGAGGCTGAGGTCTTTCTTTATTTCTGCTTCCACCGGCGGGTACTGTATCCGCTCATCTTTCCACCGGTTGACGAATTCGCCATTACCCACTCGTAGATGACCATGAATCTTACTAAAATCCTTTCTCACGTAAACTCCTTACCTCGACTCGACTCCTTCCTCCGCGTCATATAGTCGGACGGGGTAATGATGAAGACTTGTAAAGTTTCGACTTTGTTCGATTGCCTGCTCAGTCCAAAGTAGAACCTGTTGGACGGAGTGATTCTGCGTTGAATTTCAAGACTTATTTCATTGTTGGTGTCAATGCTGGTTGTAATATAGATGATATAAATAATATCACGGGAGCCGAGGCGCGATGTGATGACATTTTCTTTGATGACAGTAGATATTTCCTCTTGCCCTCATTCACTACCAGGCCCATTCGCTTCGCCTCTTTATCAAGTCTGGAGAAAACAGCACTCACGGCGCGGTTGTTGAGGCCAATAATGTCGATCTCAACGGCGTACGCCAGCAGCTGTACACTCTTATAGAAGATTGTAATTTCTCTATTTAGCCCTGCCGCTTTTATAACTTTCTCCAGGAATAAATTAAAGAAGTCACACGATAAGGAACCATCCTGTCTTAAACCTCGTTTGTTATCGAACAGCTCGGAGAGGTCCGTTCCGAGTGTTGCTTAAGGTTGGTTTATATAGCCGTATAAGCTTCGTGTGGATACCAAATTCAGTCATAGCGACGTAGAGGCTGCTGCTTTTCGTACTATCGGAGGCTGCTTTGAAATCGGCAAAAAGGTTGTGGTGTCGATCCTCTTTTCACGAGTCTTTTCCAAGATTTGACGCGTGCTGAATATCTGGTCAATGGTGAATTAACCAGATCAAAAGTCACACCTGAGAGGTCCAATCAGCTTGTTGACGGCGAGCTTCCCTCCTTCGCCCGATAAGACTTTATATGTATATTGAGCAGGGTAACCCGGCGGTAATTTGCATAGATCGTGGATTCTCCGTTTTGTGAATTGGGCAGAACACACTTAGGTCCCAACCGTTGGATATGTTGTCATCAGGCCACATTTTCCAAAGCAGCTGTTCCATGCACTTTATCGGCGCTCTTCCGCCGTACTTGTATAGCTCGGCCGGCAATGCAATGTGATATATGTTTTATATCCCCTGCGGCACCTTTACGACCTTTACGACCTTCACGAAAATCAATAATTTAGGTTGCAGCTATACATACGTGTGGAGTCTAAAATGCCGTCCCACATTTCCCTTATATCGAGTTGCTGATGAGTACTCTCAGGGAGCAGGAGTACACGACGAACATCATCAGCATACGAATAGAAAACCCTTCGACTATCTGTTGTGATTGCTGCTTTTGGATGCGGCATCTTCCTTGGTTTTGTTGACGGGTGACCTAAGCTGCACAGAGGCGCATGTGTGTCTTCGCTGCAAGAATATAGTGGTCCGATTCATGACCAATGGCAGCATGTCGCCTATCTATTACAATGTTATCGATCTGGTTGTGAGTTTTTTACTCTGGAGACAGCAAGTTAGTCTGGCGAATTTTATTTTGCTGGAATTTAGTGCCACTGACAATCATATTTGGGGCCGTGGCGAAGTGGTTCAGCCTCAACCTCTTTAGGAATGTTTCATCCAGGAGCTGAATTTTCCGGCAGTTCCGGCATTAGGAGAATTTTGATAACGTGGCGTGGCAGCGGTCATAAGTACGCCCGAGGCACTAATAAAAGGCACCAGGGATTTTTCGAAAATTTTCGCTTTGATACGGATTGTGGCGAGAAGTTCTTCCACCTTGGTGAAAGCCAGAAGTCGGCGACGGAGTCTCTCTCCCACCAAGAATTTGGCATCAAATTTACGCTCCTTCATATTGGAGTTTCATTGTAATTATATAATACATCGGTCTCCGTAATCTGTTGAGTGAACTTCAATCTGAGTATAGATCCACAGTCCTTCGGCAGAGGAATTAACAGCTGGATTAAATGAAGATTTAATAAGAGTCTAAATATGGACAGACGAATGGTCTCCGTTTAAATGCATTCTTCTTCTTTTTTATATATATAACTGCTAAAGCGATTTTTCAGCCGGGCTCCTCCTCCAATTTGTGGGTTTGCGTCGTAAATGGAGGGACCTACAGTTTATACTAAGCCGCCTCCGAACGGCTGAAGGAATACACTCGAATGCCAAGGGGCGACCGCAATTAGAAAATTCAACTTAATTTTTTATTAAAATTGATTTTCCATAACTTTTTGATATTGGCGGCACCGTACCTATAAATAATTAGAAATTTAAACAAAATGGCTCATTAGCAGGAGTGCGCTGCTGGCTGAAGGTTGTTTTTTTAAAAAGCAAATTTGTCTCCTCTCTCCTGGCGACCTTGAACTCGTTGTAGAGACCGAGGTGTTAACCAGAGGGTTTGTCGCGTAAGCTCTACCCCATAAATAATATTGAAATATCCAAAGTACCCGAGTTTAATATGCCAATTATATTGGAACAAAACCCGGCAGTTGTAGTCACAGTTAAATCTTTCGAAAATCGTGATAAAAAACCGGGCTTCCTATTCAGGACCACAACTTGAGATCGAAGGAGGGGCTGAAGGGGAGAATAATAATCCTAGCGGTACCACAACTAGTATTTTTCCGTTCATACATTTAGAATGAATGTCGAGGGAAATGCTGAAACAGAGATTAGTAAGCCTAACGGTACCACAATTAGTATTTTTTTCATTCAATCTAGTTGCGGTTGAGATCGAGTGAGGTGCTGAAGAGGAAAATAATAATCCTGGCGGACCTCAACTAGCATTTTTCCGTTCATACCTTTAGAGTGGATGTCGAGTGAGGTACTGAGGCAGAGATTAGTTAGCCTAACGGTACCCCTACTAGCTCATTAGGCTTAGATACAGTAAAAATAATTGTAGAAGGTGGGTTAGGTGGGTTCTGAAGAATCGAATGACATCAAATCCTTGGTGACATTTGCACTGATTAAAGGCGGTATTCGGAGGAGCGTCTAAAACTATACATTTGTTATTATGTTTGCTCTTTTTTTCACGGCGGCTCAATTTTCTAAGAGTTCGGAGAGAGGACTTTCAAATCCCTTCGGATTTTCCTTGTGCCAATTGCTTTTTATTATTCTATTAATTCCACGATTTACGTCATCAATCGTTTTATGCTTTCTCTTTTACAGTAAGACATTTTCGAAAGTTTTTGAAAAACTTGGATTTGTTATTGTATGTGTATGCTGACAGCAGGATAGCTATCATAATTATTTGCGACTTTTTCAATATTCGTGGATAATATCCAAACTTTAATGTGACACCGAAAAGCTTTGAACGATAAAGAGAGCAATGTGCTGTAAGCGATTTTTCCTTTTCCTTTTCAGCTATGGCCCATGATGCCTGGGTCATGTCTCAATGGTGCTTCAATACTTACTGGTGGCTAATGATTTTTTTTAGCTTTGCTAGACAAGAATGTTATACATTTTTTCATTTTTTTTTTTTGTAACGTAAGATGATTACTTTCGTTGTGCTAATGTTTTGCAAGAGCTGATTTATCAGAGAACATCTTACATTAACAACGAGGAAGCAATAAACGAGCGCCTAAATTTATGCAAAAATTTTATTGCCTCGTGTCTGCAGAGAACTTAGACTTATTTCAAGTTCTCTGCCGCAACACATTTATAAAATAAGATTTGACTGTAATAAAACATAATTTATATGACGTAGCCTGCTTTTAGGTGCGATGATATGCATATGAAATTCATACAAGCTGCTCAGCAAAATTCGACACATATTTCTCAGAACATATTGTTTTCTTTTCCCCCACATATTTAGATCTAATTTAATCTCTTTCGTTTCATTTATTATTGAACTGTCAAAGAAACTAGACTTATTCCTATTTTTTGTACTTATCCAGTTAGGTATACATTTTTTTTTAAAGAAAGTTTATTCTAAGTCGCCTCTGAATTTTTTTTCCGGTGGGTGTTTGAAATAATTATTGCGGTCTGTCAATATTTGATGATCCACAAGACAACCATTCAAATTACGCGTCGACTGGGGATCTAAAATTTGGGGTAACTTACCATCTTCTATGTCAGGGGCATACGGGATCGTATAATTTAAGTCCACGTCTGTAAATAGTAAACCGACCCCTCTGCCGTCGTATTTCATATTTATTACTGGCGCAAAGGCCTCTTCCATTACATGGCCGGTTTTTTCTTCAGTAGCTCAGAAAACATTGTGTAGAAGTCTTTGCGTTCGGTGATTCGAGATCTTTGCAGGTGGGCTTAGTTAAAATTGTGGATTTTGTTGAAAAGACATCAAGACGCAAGCCACAAATTGGAGAAGGAGCTCGACATCTACATCAGCGTTTTTCTGGCGCGATGGTACGAGTCGCATGTAAAAACTCGGCTACCGATATTCCTGGGTGTTGAAACTGAGTTAAATCTTGTTTAGTGAACTTATTTAGTTTTTCTCCGAATAGCCTGGTGAATATGCTCAGGCGACGTTTCAAAAACCCATTTTATGCTAGAATATTAATGAGCCCTACAAGCTTTTGTAACGTCTAGATACGACAAGCTACTTCTTGAAGAGTCTTAGCGTTTCCAAAGTCTCCTGCATCATATCTGAACTTTCCACCTCTGCGCGGTTTGCTTTGTACTACTTATGTCTATGCATGTGTCTGAGCATATACGACAGTTTCATCATCTGAATATGTCCTCTACACCGTTGATAATCCTCTGGATTTTTACCCTTTCGAGGTGCTCTCCTAATGAGTACTGAGGCAATCTCTCAATTTGAAGTCTTGCAGAGATTGTTTGGATTTTCGGCTGCAGTTCTGCAGCTCCAAGAGATTCGTTGCTCACTATTATATCGTCCTTATACGGCTTGCATTAATACGTAATAATTATCCGCTTGCTAAACTTCTGCTGCAAGTCTCTTCAGCGGATTGTTCTTCAATACTTCTGCTTTTTGCTGTCTCCCTCTTTATCTGCTTCCATCTGCGGGTACTGCGTCGAATACTTTCAGAGCTAGACTATTATTACCCATCCGGACCACATTGCCTGACCAACGCAGTCGTTAGCTACTGAAAGAGATTTAGCCCGTTTTCTGGGAGAAAACACCTTTGAAAACTGTCTGAAGGAAATTAATCCAAGCATTTAATATGTCAATTTTTGAAAACTCTTTTTGATATATTTTAATATATTATATTTTGCTATTTACATACATACAATTTTAAAGTGGCTTTGCCTTAATTTTAGACAGTTTTCTTTTTGGCTATGATTAAGAATAAATATCTTTTTAAAAACAGCTTGAATATTTATTCTTTTTTTTAATAAATTATTTTATGCTAGACTCACCCTTATTTGCTAACTCGTAGCTAATCACAGAACCCCCAACAAAATTGAAATCACCACCCTGTAGTATGCAAGACGTCTACGATTAAAATCGATATTTTTCGTAATCACATATTCTACCGTCAATAGAAAATTTTTCATTTCTAAAATGGACGTTGAGTAGCGTTAATTAATTTGTGTGAGCTCTGTGTGCCGCTGATTAATCCGTTTTTGTTAATATTAAAAGCGCTGTATTTAATAAAGAAAAAACATTGTGAAAGCGTGAGTGATTAATGTACGTAAGAAAATTACCCAAAAATGTTGCCTAGAACAGTTAAAATGTGTTTAATAAATGGTGCTTTTGCATCGGGACTGAAAAATGTATGTATCGGTTGCATTCGTCGGTTCAATACGTCGCGGTCGTTGAGTACGAGTTGCACATTTTATTTGCTTTCGGTGATTTTAAATATATATTCGCGCACGCGTGTGTAATTAAATAACAAATAAAAAATTTGTTATACGGCGATATGTGAGAAATATTAGTTGAAAATCTATGTAAGACAATTAATTGGTTTGTGTATGGCAGATTTTTTGTGAAATCATTGACGACGCGAACAGCGCTGCCTTAGCGATGTGGCGGTTGCCTATGTAAGGAGGCGGTTACTTTGTCGCGCTATTATTGCACGGTATTTCGAAAAAACTGAAAAAAGTGGACAATTCTATATCTTCAGATAAAGTGCATGCCGCGCGTGGGAATGCAATATATTACAGACATTTCGGAATTGACGGTTTTCTTGTATGTATGCGTGTTCGAATTGGTTTTTTACATCTCGGTGCGTACTCGGTACCAAATCGCTTGCATACCGGCAATCTTGCGCGAAAGTCGTGAAATGTTTTCTGTCAGCAACAATTATTTCTATAATACTATTAGATAAAACGGAAATAAATCTATATCAATTATTTACATTAAAAAACAAACTGTTACTAAAAAGTGCTACAATATTTATTAGACTAACTTTTTTCCTCCCCTTTTTGTTAAGTTATGTTGCTTTCACCCACTAATCAGTTTTGCAAAACAAATTAAAATATTACACAAATACTTGCATTGCATGGTTGAAGTGCTGTTTACTCATGTTTTTTTTTTTTATTAAAATGTTTCCTTGCAGCTTTTTTTTGTAAGTGCTTAAGTGCGTGTTCTATTTTAAAGAAAGCATTGTGGGCTTAATATATTTGGCATAAATATTAAATACGTCGGTTTTACGCGCGATTTAATCTTTGTCAACTCGGAAAAGTACATAGGCACGTTTGGCTTTTGTCTCGTAGCCATTGTTGCCCCTCAATTGATAGCTTCTGTTATACTGCTTGTATCTAACATCTTTCACCATGTCGACATCGCGGAGACGTGGCGAATTAAATCCTAAACTTCATATGGATAGGCAGCCTACAGTAGCCCGTATAACAGGTATTTGTTTACTTGGTTAATATAAACGGCGAGATATTTCATATCTAATTAATAATACTCGTAATATAATCTTTTCAACTGAATGTACCTTCTATTTTAAGCAGACTAATCATCCTACTTTCACAAACTTTTTTTTCCAAAAAAAAAAAAAAAAAAATCCCATGGAGCTTAATATTAAATCGTATTTATAGAAATATGTGCACTTAAATTTAAACTTTAGTTTATTAATTGGTTATTATCAATGTATTTAATAAACATATTTATTTTGTAGATCCTTCTCTGCCAGCCGGAAAACGTCGTGAGATTGATAACGTTATGAAAAAAGCACGCGCCAACACCAACGACTATTGGGATAAAAAGTTGTTGGAAGTAGAGGAAAAAGACCCGAACCGCTGGCGTCATACTGGTTATAAAAAAATGTATATCCAAGGTGATAGCAGCTCTGGCGAAAGTGATCGTGAAGGTGGTTTTCGTTACAATTCGGCTTCCGGTGGTCCAGTAGGTGGCCCGCCACCAAACTCTGGTCGTTATGCTCGTTCGCGTTCTCCCCGTTCTCGTAGTCATTCGCGTTTGAGAAAATCGCCACCATTGTCGCCACATATGCGTCGGCGTTCGCCTCCATTAGATATAGGTGGAGGTCGACGTATGTCCCCACCACCTATGGACGGTATGCGCGGCCGTCCTCGTTCGCCACCACCACGTGGTGGTATACCGCCGCGTTCACCTTCCGACATGGGCCGCGGTCGTATGCCCGGAGGCGGAAATCGTCCGCGTTCACCACCTGAACCACCAATGCGTCGGAAGTCGTCGCGTTCACCGTTAGCTAGGCGCCGCTCACCGCCTAACATAGGTCGGCGTCGTTCGCCACCACCGGCTGGCCCAAGTAAACGGGGGCAAATATTGCCACGATCAAAACGGCCACCATCGCCACCACCAAGAGTAAGTAGTTTATTACATCTTCATTAATAAGTGTGTTCTTTCATACGAATAATTTTATTTTGTTTGCAGAATTCGTGTCGTTCGCGTTCGAATAGTTCGGTAAGCAGTTGTTCTGATGACTCTTGCTCGGTTTGTTCACCAAAACATCATAATAATAGATCACGGTATGTATATAACACAATATTTTATACCACACAATACTAAAATGTTTTTTTTCTAATCGCAGTTCTCAGTCTATACCGCGTGCGCGTGTACCAGGTGGACCGCGATCTCCACCTCCAAAAACGTCGTCGCGTTCTATGCAATATCGTGGTGGCCAACCGCCTCCAAATGGTCACACTTCGTCGCGTATGCATGCCCGTCCGACCACACCACCGCCGCCAGCCTCTCGCCCGGTCGACAAATATCGCGATGAGAAAGCTCGTCATTATAGTCATGATCGTAGTATCGATCGCGTGCCGTCGGATGGACGTCTAAAGCTAGTTCGTTCGGGCCGACACTCACCTAATGAAGATTTACGCGTAAAGAATAGACCTCCAGAACCACCAGAGCCTGCTGCCTCTTCTTCAGCAGCCGTCGCTGTCTCAAAGAAAAAGAAGAAGGATAGAGAAGTAAGAATATGTTGAATAATGAGATATGAATTCAAAAGAAATTTATCGGAACCACTAATATCTTGCATATGTATATATATCAATACAATGATTTAAAAAAAAAAATATTTATCATTTCCAACAGATACGCACACGCATCAAAATCGAAGGTGAAAAGCGTAAGAAGCACTCATCGTCAGAATCAGATGATTCTGGTGGCTCAGATAGTGATAGTTCATTGCCGACATTTATTGCCTCTACCGGTTTAACACTTTCCGAACGTTTTGGCAAAATGGCTCAATGGAGTATTGATCGAAGCAACATGGAAAATATGCGTATCACCAAAGACTCTACCGGTGGAGCATTGAAAGTTATGATTGAAGAGGGGCTCGAATCGCCACCGCGTCGCTATTCGTATTCGCCAGCTCCGGCTGGTCATTTTCCCGAAGAACTTGCAACTACAGCACCGTCGGGTATGCTGTCGTGGGACGATGTGCGCGTTCGTTACGAATACTATAAAAGTCGTGGTTATTTGCGTGACTTAGATTTGAAGGTATATACAGTTATACATATTTACAAATTATTACAAAAATAGTTAATGTTAAAGCAATATTTTTACGGTTATTTAATTTATTAATTTTTTTTTTTTGTTGTGTTTTTTAGGATTACATAAAATGGGAGGAATGGTGGTATAAATATCAAGAATGGTTGAAACAAGAACGCTATTATGAGTATTGGGAACGCCAACAATTGGCACGTCGCCGACGTAAGAAGTTGCCTATTACGCAGCGTTTAAATTAGGTACTCATTTTTGTATTCATTCGTTTATCACAGATTAAGAAGTTGTTTTAGAACTTGTAACGTGCTCACGTTTACGCATAAGATCCTCATAAAAGAGAAGGTAACTTAATTGATGAAGTTGTCCTTGTCATTGTGTGTCTACCACGTTTATTATGAACCCCATTACGACGTTTACTTACATTCACATTTAAAATGTAAAAGATATAAATAAAAAAAAAATTAACCAAGAAAATAATAAAGATTATACGTAAGTAACTTTATAAAATATACTAGACATTACCAGCTTCAGGATTTATTAGTCCAAGGTTATAATGAAGTTGTGAATCATGTAATTGTATTTATATTATAAACAGTGTAATATTAAAATTATAAATATTTAAATAAATCAATTAAGAAATGCCTAAAATATATGCTTTATACGGACCCAAAAGGCAAATTCACCACCTGGTAGAATACAAAAGAATACAAAAACAAAAAGCCCATGTATTTTGTTTGTGTAATCATAGAACCTATAGCTCATGTTAGGGTTGTTGTTGTAGCAGGTTAGCGAACTTTTACTAGTGTTTTTTTTTTGTTTGTGTAATTTGGTGGTATGGAAGGAAGAACAAGAAATCATAAGATGTGACCACTTCACCGTCTATAAATTTACCATGACAGATCCTTTTCGATTGGATTAGAGGCCACTTTTCGCTGGTGTAAAGAATTGTTGGATAATAACCTCAAAAGAATGTGGAGATATTTGTGGCGACTCTAACAAGACCAACTTTATAATTTTAGCAGCGAGTCTTTTATATTCACTGATATCAACCTCTGCAGACAGGTCACGCGTGAGTTTTTCCGCTGGGCTTTTTGTCTTGTTGTTGTAGCGGTTCGTTAACCCCACTTAGGGACAGGAAACGAGCTATTTTGACGGGATCTGACCAGAGGGAAATGAGGTTAGATGTGTCGGTCTTAGGGGGGGGGGGGGGGGTATTATAAGAGGTGGTTAGTGTCATGCGGAGACTCTTCACATGTAGGACATATGTTGAGTTTGAATAAGTTTAACCTGCTACAAAATTCAGACCTCAGCTGCTCCAGTGCCCCGCGCGTCTCTCGAGGCAGCAAAAAGTGGAGCTTTTAATTCCGAAAACGCCATTCTCGGCAAGGGAGTCTTTGAAGGTGTTGACTGACTACTAGTGAATGGCCTTTAGTGCTTGTCTTTACGCCGTCCTGTCTAGGGGTTGTTGCACATGTTGCTTTTATATGCTTGTTTGGATACTACAGAGAATCGCTTGCACACCAAAGCATTATGCTCCTTAACACATAAGGCGTTCAGGTTGTCGAATGTGACTCCCAGTAACTTTGGGTTCTTTGTAGTCGGAATTTAGACGCCGTCGAGCTCGAGCCTGTACTTCTTCGTCCAGCTGTTGAAAAGGGTAGCCGAGGAGTTTGTCGGGTGAGTCCAGCGGTTCTGCTAAGTATTGCTGTATTGAGTCCATTTATTTATTTGCATACTTCCCACCTATAGTAGCACCTAAGTATATACTGTCTGCTCTTTAACCGAAGGAAACAACAAAAGTAATCTCCAAAGAGGTTTAAGGGAATAAAGCGGTAGTGACAGTCCTTCGCCGTATATTGACCCTGGATCATGCTGATATGAAGGCCCGACTGTCGCTAGAACTATTGGATTTAGTCGCCTCTTACGACAATTATACATCACTGGGTAATTCTTTAACCCATCACTCGTAGGGCGGATAACAGTGTGATCAAAAATGGCAGCAGACAGAGCCTCGAAATGAGACATAGAAAAAAAAAACAGTTTTCACGAGAAAACGCCACCCGCAGCTTAATTTTTCATCAGTTTTGAATTTAAACGTCGCAGCCCTACTTTGTCCCCTGTTCCACTGTATTAAAGCCTTTCGGCGAGTTAATTGCCTCTTAGGAGAGAGAGAGCGGACTGAGTGGATTTTGATTGAGGCTATAAGTCATCTTACCAAGGTTTCTAAATAATTCACCACTTGTGACAGTATCTTTATATTCAGTAGTAAGACCAGTCTCAATTCGCCTTATCTAATGAAGTGTGTAGTATAAATTATCGGCTAAAATAGCCCGCGCTTGTCTTTGTGCGCTCAAAACTCGCACCCTTTGTTTTCCAATAAATTACGGGCACATCAAATTTATTTTTCACATTTATTTTAAATTCCCAACAAAAGCAGAAACGTTTTGAAATGACGGATAAGTAAGTTTAAACGAAAACCAAAAAAAGAATATACAAGATTTTCCGCACATCTTTCAGAGCACCAAATGATTACGATCCATACGAGCATCGTGAGGTGGCCCATCCAATTAGGTAAGGCAGAAATATGGAAAAAAAAATATTTTGCTCAACTCAGACTCCTCATCTGTATGTTTCGTCGTTTTCCAGTGACTTCGGCGCCTTCCTGAACATAGTCAAAGCTGTGCTGGGTACCGGCATTCTCGCTGCGCCCATGGCCTTTAGAAATGCCGGTTACCTACCGGCAATTGGTTGCACCATCATAATCGGTATCATCATCATACATTCCAAGTTGATTTTGGTAATTTGGAAGTTTAAAAACGCTGTCTCGAGTTGACTGATTCTAGTGTCCTTCCTTCAGCTAAGCGGCATGTACGAGTTGGCTAAGCGGAAACAAGTACCGCTGCTGACATATGCCGATGCAATGATAATTGGCGCAATCGAAGGTCCACCGGCGCTACGCTGCACGCAATACTTTATGAAGTGAGTTGAGAAATATTTAGATGTAGTCCTCTACAGGATTAGAGATTGTGCTGGAGTACAAAAAGTTAAGCGCTTCAAGAGTAGTGGAAAGAGAGCGAGGAAATGGGAGGGAATGAGATGTAGTTGTAATAGGTGACGATTCTTTGAGCGCAGTTTTCAAGGTTGGGAGTAAGTTCTCAAAACGAGCAGCTTCGTAGATTTCAGCCTTGACTTGAAACCGCCCCCAAAGGTCTCATGAGGCCTGAGAGTGTAAAAAAGTCTCCATAGCAATCGAGCTTTAGCCACCTAAGTATTTTTTTTAGCTAAGCTTTTCTCCAATTTTCAGGATAATCGCGTTTAGGAGGTACTTTTCAGATGTTTGTTTACCCATGATTCGGACGCGTGATGTTCCGATAACAGCGGAACTGTGTAAAAACATACGATTGAGCCAGTAAAAGAAGGTTCACCAAGAAGTTAGTTGCTTCCAGGGGAGTGTAAAGGGGAAACCTGTGTTTAGTCGGAGGAAGAAATGGTATAGACATAGAGCTGTGGTTATATTAGACGATGGTGCAGTTATCAAGGCTAGGAGTATGTTCTAAATAGGAACAGCTTAGAAGTCCAGTTTTATTCTGAAATCGCCTGTGGAGGTCTCTTGATACCTGGAAATGTAAGAAGCTCTACATGACAATCGGGTTCTGGCCACTGAAGTATTATTTTGACTGAGTTTTCTTTGTTGTGGTCGCAATTTGTTGTGATCTCCTTTAGTATATACTTTTCAGATATTTGCCTACCCAAGACGCGGAGGTATGATCTTTCGGCCACTGCTTAGCTGAGCAAAAGGAAAGGATTGAGCAGATAGAAGAACTAACCCGCTGAAGAACAACTAAAATAATGTTCTCTTTCTTAACATTCTGACACCGGAGCTCACTTGGAGGTTGTTATATAAAGGATCAGTAAGAAAAGGTTCTAGAAAGGTTTAATTAGTCGTTGTTTTTATTAAGGAGAAAGCTCTAGAAGCATACACGTGTATGTGAAAGGAACTCTACTAATAGCATCCGTCCAGTTGCTCTCTTTACTCCTTTAAAAAATTTATTAAATATAAAATTTATCGCTTCTAAACCACAGGGGTCTGGTGAACGTTATGCTAGTCGTAAATCACTTTGGTTGTTGTTGTGTTTATGTTGTATTCATTGCGAATTGTGTGAAAGATTTTGGCGACTACTATTGGGAAGAACATGACAGTCGCATTTATATGGCAATGGAGACTGTGCCGTTATGTCTGATTTTCCTCATACCCAATTTGAAGGCGCTGGTGCCGCTCGTGCTCGTCGCTAACGTGACGTTAATATTTGGTGAGTTTAAAAACAAAAAATAAAACAAAGCAATATAAAGGACACTTCATATAATCGATTTTCTGGTTTGCAGGTTTCGGCATAATATTCTACTATATATTTTCGGATATGGCACCGTTCTCCGGCATGGCAGCCATTCAGGATGTCTATCTATTTCCGTTCTTTTTCGGCGCTACAATGTTTGCATTCGACGCACCCGGATTGGTCGGTTTGCGCGCATATAAAAAAAGACTGTGTGAGACACAGATGTCGCTAAAAAGCACTTCCTCTTTGCACTTTCAGATTGTTTCCGTGGAAGCGAATATGAAGTCGCCATTACATTTTCGCCGTGTTTGTGGGGTTTTCGTCCAAGCCATGCTCGTTGTTGTTTTATTACAAATATGTTTCGCTTTCTTTGGCTATTGGAGTTATGGTGAAAATATCGCTTCGACTATTCTACAAAATTTACCCTACAATGCCGTGTAAGCTACTACAAAAACTTCTCACTCATTTGAATAAGTATTTTCTGGAATTTATCAGGAGAGGCGCACACGATTACATGAACTCTATTTAGCAAACCAACACCGAACATCGAACCGCTGGGCGAGACAATATAATGTTAGCTGTTGACCTAAGGGTTACAGCCCTTAGCCGGATAAAATTCTTGCCAACTCTAGTGCGTAGTGCCGGGTGTCGTTAGAGTTGAATACAACCAGCTGACACTAACCAACACCCCCTAAAATCAACTTATCTAGTCCACCTGTAAGATGCGACTAAAATCCAATAAATCCCGCTACAGTCGGGTTTTTATACCGGAACGACCGGATTTTTATCCAGCCAAGGACTGTCACTCGCCCAACATTCCCCAAAAAGTACTTTGGGGAATATTTTTACGGTTACAACAACAACAACAACAACAACAGTACGATCTTAATCCCGGAACTACCCGAATTCCTTTCCGGCCAAAGACTGTCACTCACACAACATTTCTCCAAAACTACTTTGGGGAATATTTTTGAAGCAACAACCTACCCAACATACATCTCTAACCACCTCTTTGCATTTCATCATAAGCCTACTCATCCAAAAAACCGGCTACCTTCGGTCTGAACCCATTGAAACGGTTGGTTTCCGAAGAGTCTGTTATTAAAACGTGATAATGGACGGCTACGACCAAAACAACTCAGCAAAAGAATGCCTATTTAGCATTTCTGTTACAACTCTGTCCGACTTTAGGCTTTCGACAGACGATAGACCCAGTCCAAAACTACCCAGCTTTTTACTTCAACGTGTCGGGGACCTTCAGAAGGACATGACGTTATTACATTAGACTTCTCCTTACTTGAGGTTTTATCAAACGTTCAAAAACTATTGGGAGCAAAGGCAGAAGGTGCTAAAATTCGAAGACGAATTGTGTGATACAATCAAACTTTCAAAATTTATTTTCCTTTCTTGAAAGTAGGAAGATGAGTGTATAAACAGTAGCAGTTGTATCTACTACTCTGCTCACCAGAAGGCTCGTGACCTGACCTGACCTGGCGCTAAAGACAGAGAGAAGCGATATTATATTTAAGATATTTATATTTAGTCCTCTCTATGGGCTGCGCTATCCATGTGAATGGAGGCAGATATACATGAAGTCTGATCAATTTCTTTGATGTCCTTACAGCCTCTCTGCAATTGCGCGCATAATTTTTGCTTTCTCCATCGTGATCTCACATCCACTGCAGGGTTATGTGCCCGTCGATGTTATATGGAATAATTGGTTAAAAGCTAAAGTGGCTGAAAACAAGCAATTCGGCATAGAAATGATTTTTCGCACGGTGGTTGCCATATTATCAGGTAAATTGGAATTCTACTGTTTCCTTCAAATATAATAAATGTAAAATGTATCCATCTCTTCTCCTCCTAGTGCTCGTTGCCATCGCCTGTCCGAATTTGACCATCATACTCTCGTTGGTCGGTGCTCTTTGTCTATCATTTTTGGGTCTCATACTGCCGGGCGTTTTGGATATTTGCGTCAAGTATGAAACTGGTTATGGCCCGATTAAAATTTACCTATTATTGAGTATGCTTGTGGTGTTTGTTGGCTTACTTGGCGCTGCGGTGGGCACATATGTATCCATACAAGAGTGGGTCTTCACGTATACTAGACCGAATCATACCGTGAGAGGATTTTATGAAGGTGTTTTAAATGAGAAACACTCGCACGATTTATATTATTTGTGAATTTTGTGAAGTATGTAAGAGAAGAGAATTTGGATTAATGATTGAAGTTGGTTTTTCTTTGCTTCCATAAGTGGGTTTTATAATCTTCTCCATAAGGATAAGTGTTGGCTGCAGGCACCCTACTGATACAGAGGTAAAACCCAATTGTGTTTGGGCGACATTAATACGTACTTCAACGAATGTAACTGAGGGTACAGAGAAACAACTCGATACTCTGCACCATGGAACGCTGACTTGATCTGTTAAAAAGCATTATTGGGTAATCTATACTGATTCTCGCCTCCAATTGCCTCGTTGGACAGGCCTCCTAACTTTGCTTCCGCAAGCTACCGGACTTATGTCATGTTCAACAAACATCACTGCTCCGGTTTCACGGGATTTATAAAGAGTACCGTTGCATTTATAGCAGAAACCCGCGCTAGCTTCCGAACCAAAGTGACTAATGTAACAACAAGACATGACTGTCTAGATCAGACCAATCCGGGATATCCAGCAGAAGTTCCAATATGGTGCTTTGGCCACTAGTCGTCATAAGACTAACGAATGTGAAGGAGCACTTAGAGACTTTAGTCTTGCAGCAGATCCGCTGATACTACCAAGCTTTAGGCCTCTGTAAAACCACCCCATAAGATGCGAGTCGAATGACCGACCCGTCGTCCGCTAAACATCACAGAAGAAAGTACAGGAATGCGAAAGCTTCTAAATCCATAAGTCCCAACGGCACTACCCCGCAGGGTTGCCTGCATCGATCTCACAATGCGCGCTGCACTGGTCGTTACTGAAAATTCGATTTTTTCTTCAGCGGTATTAAGATGTCCTTAACAATATCGACTTACCAACTTGGCCTGCCCCTAATGTGGATTAGTCCCTTGAAGAAATTGACAGATTTCATGCAGTAAAAGTTGTTCATGTAAAGTTGCTTAGGAATTGCGAAGTATCATATCTATCCCATTCCTACATGCCTGTTTATTTTAAACACGAAACCCTCAACCGACCAACAGACATTCCCCCTTAACACTTCAATCATTCAATTGACGTTTGATTTTCTTTTTCAATAATGGCCGAGTCGTAAGTTCTTACAAACTATTCACGTTCCATACACAATTTATTTATTTCTTTAGCAAGGATGACTATAACCCATATGAGCACCGGGAGGTGGTCCATCCAATATCGTAAGTACCAACAGTCGTATGCCACAATTCAAAGCTAAGCACTAAAAACTGCTTTTCTATACAGAAATTTTGGTGCACTAACGAATGTGATCAAAGCAATAATTGGCACTGGTATATTGGTGGCACCGATGGCCTTCCACAATGCCGGTTGGCTAAACGCATTGATCAGTACTACGTTGATTGGCATAATTGTGCTGTACTCAAAGCAAATGTTGGTAAGCGTCTAACTACGTACATGAAGATCATCCAATAAGCGTAGAGTTCAGGTATCACAGTTATTCACTTTCAGCTGTATGGCATGTACGAAATTGCAAAACGTCGCCGAGTACCACTCTTAACATATGCTGAGGGTGTTGTGGAGGCCGTCGTTGAAGGTCCGCCGTGCATGCGTCGCCTACATGGCGTGTTGCGGTAGGTGTTGCTTGTGAACTGGAGTTTATATATTTAAATGTGTTTTTTTTCACTCGCAGCTGCATGGTGAACTCGCTGCTCTTCATCTATCATTTCGGTTCCTGTTGTGTTTACGTTGTTTTCATTGCAAACTGCATTAAAGATCTCGGCGACCACTATTGGAGTGTTTGGGATAGTCGCATTTATATGTGTTGTGAAATATTGCCGCTATGTTTGATTTACTGTGTGCCGAATTTGAAGTCATTGGTTCCGTTTGCCATGGTTGCGAATTTTTCTTTAAGTATTGGTAATTGCATTTTAAATTATAGCGTAATAGGAAGGCAGTCATCCTAGAAGTATGCTACATAATGTTATAGTTTCATAAAATTTGCTCTTTGGAGGGACTACGGTGACTTCAAAGAAGTAAGGGGCATTCACAGTCTCATGAAATGACAAAAATCTTGTGAAATCGCTGGATTAATACTCAAAGCTGCCACCAGGCGACACATTTTCATGTGCGCTACATAGACATGCTCTTATGGAGTTGCTCTGTTAACGGAGCTCGGGTGGGGTTTAATTTTGAATTTTGCAAAATTTTACATAAATACATATATTTATTAAACTGTTGAAAATGAAATTAGTAATTTAAGTAACGGTTCTCATTACGTTGGATTACGTTGTGGCCTAAATGCCTAGATAAAAGAAAGAGAACATTTAATACATGCAAAGAACTTTCAAGGGATGTGCGCTACCAATCGGCGGGTATATAGGAGCGCAGACAGACTCTGATGGAAGTGAAAACACAAGATATATATAACGCTTGGTGATTTGGGAAAACATTAGTTATTGAATGAAGCAAACATATAGTAAATTACTAAAATCTGTCCCGCAGAATGCGAGAAATTTTCTTGGTTAATTTATAAAATCAGTTAAATAGTAAAAGTAATATCTTTAAATTGATTGAAAATGTTCAAGATTCAGGGTATGAAGACTGAGAAGCTGAAGTACGTTTAGATGAAACGTATTCTGTCGACAGACAGAAGGACGTGAAAATGCTATTGAGAGACAATCCTTAAGTGGTGCCAAGTTAAGCTTCAGTTAAATCTCCAAACTAAAGTTCTGTAGTCAAAACACCATTCTTAGATGGCGCGCTTTCTTCCCAAGCCTTCAAGCTGTGACCCCGGAAAAGTTTTTGAAAAAAATTGCAGCTTTGTTTATTGCACTTACTTGACTTGCCGCGCAAATCTTTCAAACACTACCCGCATATGAGAGCGATTATTGTGAAGTATTAATGTGAGCCGCAAAAAGAATCCCCCGAAGAAATACCATCAGAAGCCCAACTAAGCACAGCTAGAGTTTGGATGTGAGTTTGAGTAGCTGGCTCATTTGGCTAATAGGAAAACCCTTGGGAAGCACCTCAAAACTGTAAAAATTCAGAGATTTGTGAACAACATGAGCGACACATTTGTATACGAAGCGAGTAACATACGGAAACCCAAGAAAAATATGAATTATTATCGTAAAACTAAAACGAGTCAGCCGAAAGATGGCTTACTAGCTTCACTAATGACCGTGTGGTTCTTCGGTAGTGCTTGTTTGAAAGAAGAACTGGAGGTATTCCTCTTCCTCTGCTTCCATCGGTAGTATCCGCCGAAGCTAGATTATTATAATCCATCCGGACCATATGACCTAGCAAGCTTGCGGTTGTCTTTAGATTTGGAAATGCCATCAATGTCGAAATATATCTCGTACAGCTCATCGTTCCTTTCGTTGTTGCCAATGCGCTGAAGACCTTAAATTTATGCATCAGAAATAGTCATCGTTCTTGTCTCCGCACTATATAGCAGAACGGGAATAGTGAGCAATTTTCCCGAGAGTTCAATATTTGTTCGTCGGGAGAGGACTTTACTTTCCAACCGCCTATTAAGTTCAAGGTAGCGCCTGTTGAAAAGAAGGTGTGTGTTGTTACACTCCAGATTTAGACGGTGAAGTATGGAGGATTAAAAGTAGACAGCCTTTAGTGCTAGAGATGATCTGTGGAAATTGACAGTTATGCCATTCTGTTTATATATGCCCATCATCGGAAGACTTATGTGCCTAAGAGAAGACTTGTTTGGAGTATTTGGACGATATAATTGTTTTAGCAGGAAGTTTTGAAGAACACCTCTAGAATTTTTAAGAACTTTTCCAAGCGACAGCTGGAGGTAGACTAAAACCAAAGCTTTCCAGGATTATTACCGTCGGTTCTTGATAAAAATTTGCTACCGTAGCTAATAGCCTCCATGAAGTGGCCTTAAGCGGAGCAAGGAATAGCAGGAAACTAAAGCACTAGACACGAGGATATTCATACACATTTCTGATGATGATGATATGGAACTGCTCGAACTCAGGTTCCCTTGCTTCGGTGCACTTGGGCCTGATACCTATTGGTGGAGTGGGGACTATGAAAGAGATTCCTCTCACCTTTCTAGATGCTGAAACCACTTGCTTTGTTTAATGAAACACACGAGATTATAGACACTTGCTGACGCTATATCTGCAAGAGGGTCAAAGTAGAAATTACCTGGGAAACGATGCCGCGCTACACTCAGGGGCAGAGATAGTGACCCGCCGACTCTTTCCCGTAAATGTCTTCGCAACCGCGCTAGAAGTAATTAGAGAAGTAGCCCACCCTTCTGTCATGAGTCCCCATTAAACAGTGTCCGGTAATAACGCGGGTTGTTATCTTCTGTTTAGAAGGAGTATACGAGTATACTTAGTTCTTTTTGTATCAATCAATGGCCAGCTCTGGCTGGACACATTGTATGTGGTTTCACTCCGCTATCTGCTATTGGTCTAGCTGGTGAAGGGCGATCTTAACAGGTATTTTGCTGGGGAAAAATGTATGGCTGCGTTGTGTGCAGAGTTTATCGTGGTTAGGATTGTTAGCCCGTCGGCTTTACAATTCCCTGGACTATCTCTATGTCCAGGGACCTAAACCACGGTCGGTTCGCATACAACCAAGAGTTTGTTTAAGATTTCCCTAGATACTCTTGCCTCCTTTGAGGTGCTGTGATTGCAATGACAAGATCTAATGGCAGGTTGGCTGTCAGAATGTATTGTGATAGGCTGGGACTATGTATTGGGTGATGACAAAACAATACTTTTATTAGTAGTATCACAAGACAGTTCAATATCTAATTTGTTTTACTAGTGAAATGGGAGTTAATACATACAAACTGCTTTCAGGATTTGGCATTATTTTCTATTACATGTTCACCAATCTGCAACCTTTTGAGGATTTGAAGGCAATGCAGGACCTCAGGCTGTATCCCTTGTTTATTGGCTCCACATTATTTGCATTCGAAGCACCCGGATTAGTCAGTTAAAATATTATATAAACCTTCAAGTATGTGCTCTGCTATAATACTTTTCGTAATCTCAGGTGGTCTCCATTGAGGCGAACATGAAGAAACCGCAATCGTACGTCGGACTAACCGGTGTCTTGAGTGTGGGCATCTTTTTCGTTGTGCTGCTACAGCTGGTCTTCGGTTTATTCGGTTATTGGCGTTACGGTGAAGCCATAAAATCGGCTATACTACAGAGTCTGCCGTATGATGAGATGTAATATGCTTGTGAATGCATAAATTTAAATAAATTCCTGCAATAAAATAATGATTTATACTTTTTCTCATTTAGACTCAGCAACACTGCACGTGTTATTTTCGCCTTCTCCATGTACATTTCCCATCCACTGCAGGGTTATGTGCCCATCGATGTTATGTGGAATAATTGGCTGAAGGCTAAAGTGCCGGAGAGCAAGGCATTCGTGCTGGAGTTGTTATTTCGTCTGTGTTTGGCGATTTTATCTGGTAAGCACTTAGCTTATTTGATGGAAGCAAATATATGTATATTAACTATTCCCCATCTTCCAGTTCTCCTCGCTGTCGCTTGGCCTAACCTAACCTTAATTCTTTCATTTGTCGGCGCATTCTGCTTATCCTTCCTGGGTCTCATATTTCCTGCAATCATTGATATCTCGATAAGATATGAAAAGGGCTATGGTCCTTTGAAAATCTACCTTTTACTTAGTGTTATTGTAATATTATTTGGCGTTGTTGGCGGCATCACGGGCTCATATGTGCCCATAGAACAAATGATCAAACTTTATCTTAATGGCACAAATCTGACGGGCTAAGTTATGCGGCTGTAACTGGAAGAGGAGATATAGATGTTAAAGAAGGCGGTTTTAAGTATCTCATTATTTAATTTGTTAAAAAGTATATAAATAAAGTAATTTTTGCTTTAGGTTGCTCTAAAATCAGTCCAAAGCTTCTGCCGTCGCATTTGAGTTTGTAAAACTTTTTCGTCCAACAGATAGTTTGGTTGTAATTGTATTTTTATGCATAAATTGGTACTTTTATATCAAAAGTTCAAGTCGCTGAAAGCTCTTTTCAAAGCATAGAAACTTAAAGCTTCAGAAAATTCATAATAAGCTTTCTTTAATGGAACACATCAACGTTCTTTCGCCAGCCCAAAAAAAATCCTTTGAACGCTTTGCAAACACGCTCAAATACTTTTAGGGTAAACTAAAAGTTTGTGAAAGCTTCGCTAGATGTCACTAAGCATTGCAATTTCCTTGCAATCATTTTCTTGTTCTCCATGTGGAAAAGTATGCTTGCAGCAAGATCTGTATATCGGGACTATCTAAATTTTTTTCCAGTCACAAGTTGAGAAGTCACAAGAAGTTGTTGCTGCTGTTATTGCAGAGACTTGCTGAACTCCTATATGAAAGGTACAAAGTTACTCGATGTCGTCGAAGCCGTCTAATGCCAGACGCAAGAAACGAATTATTTCAACGAGTCCGGGGCCGGAAAGAAAGAGCTGTTAGTTAAGCTGTGCACTAAGTCTGGGTAGGTATTAATTGGGTCTCATGAGGAAGCTCACACCTTTTTAGTTGCGATGGGAGGTGGTATAGATATTGATCAACTCATTCACAGAAAGAAAGTCATTAAATATGTTGACAGACTCTAGGTGAATTGCATTACCACAGAGGTGGTATGTTGTTCTGACCAGCGGTTCTATGATGAATGTTATTGTAATTTTTGCCTGATGCACTTAGGAGGTGGTTCAGCTTTCAGTAGTTGCCTGCCACAATGATCTTTGCGCTAGTATCTCAGCAGATATAGATTGCTACTTAACTGGGAGTACAGTCGATGCTCGGAAGCTTTTTAATCTACGTCTCGCTAGACCACGGCGCGGCGGTACTTAAAGATTGTAACAACGTTTCTTTGTATTCACCCTAAATGCAGCGAACCTAGTACATCGAAGTCTAGGTAGCGGCTTGAGGATTTAGTTGCGGCTTAGTACTTTAGTGTTCGGGCGAAGAAGCTTTAGACTAACGAATGTCACTTCCTGTAACTATGAGTCACTATCAGTCAGAACTTAGACGTTCTCCTTGTGGGTCCTTATCACTGAAACATTAACAGGAACTGAAGGGTAGACGAAATTGCTCTAAGTATGGTATAAAAGATATGTTTCTGGACAGAGCACGCATTGGTACTTAAGGAATTCATGTAGCAGTCAAGAATTGAATAAAACTTTCCTTGTTTAAAGTCGAGTAAAAATTTAACCAAAGGAGACCAAAAGGCTTATTTTCTCAGAAAGGGATTTTGACAAGAAAATGATTTGTTGGAAGGTTTTCAGAAAACCCCTTGGACCTCTTCAACAGAATAAGTGCGGACGACAGCTTGTGAAACACTGCGATCAAAGAATAAAGGAGCGAAAGTTCGATGTAAGATTTGCAATGGAAGCATCTAGATAGGCCGCTTTTAGAAGATGCTTCAAAAGCTGCAGGAATTACGAAAAGGAGTAGACGATATTCCACTGACCATGCGGTTTTCCTGCTCTAAGCAGTAGTATGGGATTATAGATTAGGAATGTGTTTTTAAAATCCATAAAGAGCTCAAGTGAATGGAATAGGAGCTTCGAAGTCATAACTTTACACAATGGAGTATTTTCAGTTTTGGGTTCAAATGACTGAATACGGGCTTTCGGAGACCAAATTAGAAATATTGTTAAAGTGTTTCAATAATTCGACTTACTTGTTGTCAGCCAATGGTCTAAAATCGGACAGAAAATTGGACACGGGCTTGGCAAAGTCACTTCTATTGTGCATAGTGCCTGGCAGTCTTACGAGGAATAGTTCTCTGCTACTCAAAAATTTTTTAGCTACTCCTTTTGGAGGACAATGCCTAGTCTTTCGGCATCTTACCCAATCTAAGACTTTTGCTTCTTTTCGTAGCTCATATGTAATGTAATTCTTACCACTTCCGTACCGGAACTAACTTTGTTCACTCAGAAAGTCAAGTGGCGGTTCTTTATCCGGAGTAATCTGCTACCTTGACATTGAGACCTTTTCAGTTGCGCCTTTAATAAAAAATTAACCTCAACAGACCGTAATAGAAATTAGCGCGCAAGTGGACGCCGAATTTAATCCACTTTCCTGTACTCCGCCTACAAACGCATCGATTGATTGGTGGACTGTGTACGTATCAAAGCGGCAGCTTTGTGTTTTCCGAGCACATGATCCAATCAAATCAAAGCGGAAGCGACTTTTAATTTGTAGCATGTCAGCCATATAAAAGAGCCTTTCAAAAAAAAAAAAAAAAAAAAAAAAAATTGAGCTGTCAAGGGCTGCGCGCCTTTAATAGTTTGCTCCCAACCCACAGCGCTCAAACTCTCTATTTATTTTTAGGTTTTCTTATTTGCACTTTTCGCAATGCGACGCTAGTTTTCGCCTGGTTTTCGATACTTTTATTTTCGCAAACGTTTTCTTTTTCTATTCTTTCATATTAATTTGTGTTCGTTAAATTGTTGCGACGTGTGGGAATGTGTACGCGGAAAATCATTGATGTTTGACTGATTGATTGCGTGCAAGCGTTGCTAAGCTACCCATGAGGAAAGTGGAAACTTCCATAAATATGTGATAAACACTGGAAAAAAGGAGGCGAGTAATAAAACAGAAATCGAATAAAAATGTAGAATGATTGGAAATTTTTATGTGTAATTGAGAATCTCTATAAGAGTAGCTGAGAGAAACTACAATAACTCCAACAAAATTCTATTCCTAACCTCAACTCTGATGCACGCCAAAATTATAATTTCCTATAGGGTCCCTTTTTTATTTTTGCTTTGTTTCTTGTTTTCAAAAAAGTTTCAATGCTAATTGAAAGAAATTTACGGCAATCAACAAAAACTGACCGACGAAGTTTTGGAGTGTGAGTGATTAATTGATGAAGCTAAGTTTTGAAGTTTTCGGTTCGTTACAATAGCTACAAAGTTGAGTTTGGGATGCTAAACATCTCTATGTGGGTAAATAAAATATTTGTTGTTTTCCAAAAATAGAAAATAAATAGAAAAATTTAGCACTTTAAGGGTTCAGAGGTATGCCTGAGTAGTGCTAAATGTCTCGGCGTACGTTCATATTATATCTTTGCGGGCGGACGGGTTTTATATATAGAGACTACTTCAATATATATCAACTTACAGTTTATTCTCAGCTGCCTCCGAACGGCCTATGGATTTTTATGTGGAGCTTTGATATTGATGTCAAAATCACAACACACTCGAAGACCCTGACGTTTCATGCCTAGGCTCAACTGCACTTGGAATAATAATTTATATTTAGTTTTGGTTGTTGATCGGATCAGTACTGGGACCCTGGAACCCTCTAATATACAGTATAGTATTTATCGAGGCCTACAACAAGAAGAACTCTCTCAGAAATGCCGAAAAATATAAATATTTTGGTAGAAACTATGATGGAAAGGAGACACCTGAAATAGCATCTATTTGAGTTATTCATGATTTGGGTGCTAGGAGCTATCTACTAAGAGTTCCATAAATATTGAAGGCGTAAGGTAATCGTGTCCATGCTGCTCTCTACTCAGTCGTCTTAGTTATAAAACAGTCTTTTTCATTCACGTTTAGCTAGTTAATATATTTTCACAGGAACACCTGCCGTGGCTGGGTTTGTGGGCATAGTAATCTAAAGCTTTGTTGGGAGCTATAAGTTTTCCGTCCGCTCTGGCAAATGTATAATGAACAGAGGCAGACCTTTGGCATTTTTCGTTACCAAAAGTAGAAATTCTTCTTCTTTCCGACGAAACTCTTCTATTTCGGGTCGTTTTAAAACGTCTAGGATATTTTTCTATGGACTAATTGTCATTTCCACATCTCTCGCATTTATTTTCGCGGCCTATACTAGTGGATTTAGTTGTTGGCTATCAGTCATCTAGGCTCACGACTTCGAGACTTAGTCCAAGTATGCTCTGGTTAGCAACGAAACATGCAAGGTAAGCTGACTGATAAAAAAGACACGATGAGTCGTGAGTAAAAGACATACTTTTGTATAAAGATCCCTTCAAACCTTTGAGTATCATGATTTGAGTACATAGGCCTGAAATATCCGTTAATACAATGGGTAAGGTGCTGGTGTCTATGTTGATCCACTTGTAAAAATCACCAACACCGTCGTCCAGGAAAAGCGATGGAAGCCCCAAGAATGGCAGATGCCTTACGAAATTCAGCAGCTAAAGAACACAGGAGCACATGTTCGATGTTGGATTTGTGGTAGAAGGCACATAGAAAGCACCTAGAAGAGATGGCCTCTCGACGATGTTAAAATTGTGTGTGGCGATTTCAACGCCAGGGTGGGCAAAGAAGGTATATTCCGAACAAGACTCGGGGAATTTAGCAGCCGTGACAGGCTGATCAACTATTAGGTGCTCGATATAGGATTGAAAGTAGTTCCTCGGCAACTCGGCATTTATGGCGTTGGGCACCAAATCCTAGTCTTATTTTCACTAAACTACGTTCTTCCCAAAGCAAAAGGCTAACGCTTTCCCTTCACATCTTTTTTATTAGATATCCTTCTCAGTCTAAAGTTGCACAAACTATACATACATACATACATCTGAGGAGTCTACAAAAGGTAACCCGCAAAAAAAAAAACGACAAAAATTTTCTAAAAATGAGCAGACCTCTGTTTGGGGGTATCCTAAAAGCCACCCTAAGTTCAAATAATTCAAAGTAATAACAATAATTTGACTGACAAGTAACTGAAAGGTGAAATGTTCGCAGACAAACAGACAGATAGTAGTGATAGTTGGTAGGTAGACAAACAAAAGAGCTCTTGCATAACTTAGCTCAGCTTTTTATGCGCCCACGAATATCAGACATATCATAAAGGTAACGTCAAGTTATTCAACGCACTGTAGTGGAATAAACATAAAAGGACTAGGGAAAAGTT